CCACCAAATCCCTTCTTTCCTCCCTCTAGCGTATACATATATAACTTGGGTGGGAGAAGAAAAAAAGAAAATACAAAATTCCACCTTTGATGTGTTTTATTAAAAAAAAAAAAAAAAAAAAGGTACATTCGTGCCCCATTGTTCGGTAGTGCGCCGCACGTTCATTTTCCCCCTCATCCTCAAGAGTCTGCTTCGACGCTTTTCTGCCCACGCAGCAGCATCGCATAGACGCTCGTCACTGTTCGAAATCGCTACAAAAATTATTAAAATATCAACTACAAAGCGAGTCGTATTTGATACGTGTGCTGTCATGGCTCTCGCTCTCTCTCTCTGTGTTGTCAATGTCGGTCTGCTAATTTTGAGTATACCGCCCCTGTGAGCCCCCTTTTCTCTCTCTTGTCTCATCTCACTCGGTCACACCAACATGCTTTGATCAATTCACTTACTTTTATCTATATACATGTATGGGACTCGAAAATCACGCGGTTCGACCGCGGAGATGTAAAAAAAAAGGCGCGTCATCCAACAGTGTGTACTTTTTTGTTACTTGTATTGTTGTGCGTATATATTCTCGGTTACCTAACCATATAACACGACTATGTTACAGAGCGTCGTTTGTTGGAAACAAAAAAAACGAAATAACTTTATATAATGAAAATCAGTCTGAAATGCTTTTGGTTCGTTGCTAACGTGAATCGTCCCTCCCTGTGCAAGGAAAGGTGTAAAAAATTGTGCCAGTACACTCAATTGGCGCACTCGAGTAAAAAAAAAAATAAATAAAAATATAGAATCGCTCGGATAAGTTCTCCTTTCAACCCAAAAGTATTTCCCAAAGGCAGCAAAAGAACAAAGATGAAAGTATATACATTCACGAGGTGGGGGGGGGGAATAAAAAGGTAAAGAGAGCGAGGGGTTCGTGCGGGTTATATTGGCCATTGTCCTCCGGCGCTCAACTTTCCGGATGTATATTCCCACCGATGAGGACACCCATCGGTTGTTGCTGCATTTTTCAATGCCCCTTGGGACGCGCCAACTCTCCTCAACTCCCAATTGATATATCCCAAAAGTTTCGTCCACCCGGCTATTGTTTATTCATTTATTCAGTCCACCTCCCCTCCAGTGTTGATGAGTTTAGTTCGGCCATCTACATTGTGTATCAGATATCTCTTGACTATATATATATATACACCCCATCAGCTAAAACAGTATAACGAACGTGTTAATGTTTATTTTTTTCCTTTTCTTTCACAAGACATCGCCATCAAAGAGACACTTTGCCGTTTGCCGCCTCAATTAGAAACACATTGCCTCGCGCACACATAGGGGGGTCGCTCCGTTTATTTTATTTATTTTTTTTTTACCTCGCATTCCGCGCGTTGGATGTACAACTCACATATTTTAGGTGATTAATCGTGCGTGTGCCCGTCCTTTCCTCGGGCGACACTCTCTGCGCGTGAGATCTAACGCTTTATCCCCCCTCCCCCCATCTCTATTTTTTCTCGACTCTTCGTCTTTTCTTTTTCTCGCGTATAAGTGTACTTTGAATCGTAAAAATTTTGAGTGTATGTACATCCATACACACGGCAACCCACAAAACACTTGTACATACCCCCTCCTCCTGATGCACGCGCAAATCGCACACATCGCACTTGAAAAAGGGAGTAGGATTGTTGGAGGAGGGTGCAAAATAAAATAAAAAAAAACACTTTCCCATGACCCACATCTGCGGCTCTCTCATCCCGGGGGATATACATAAATATACATGCACGCGGTCACGCCACGTTGGTGCACTCGCGTACAGGGTGCACCACCCCATCATACTCGCACCCTCATAGAGAGAGAGAGAGAGAGAGTATTGAAATAGTTGCGTGCACGTGTTACAGCGGCTTTTCATTCAATTGCATTTACTATGCACGTCGTTTGTTTGCGATACGAATCTCATGCGCGCACTTTTAAGGACATTTCAGGACGACACGTGCCATTTATAATAATAATAATTGAAAAAAAACAACAAGTGCGCACGGGGTTTTATTTCTTTCTACCATCGATGCGTGCGATGCGGAGAAATCTTAAATATACTTTTCCGAGAGCCAATATAACGTCGGGCGCGCTCGTGCAATAAAATCGAGCAATCGAGCGCTAATTGGTCATTCCTTGTGTGTGTATCCGAAGGGGCCATTAGGCGCATAAAAGGCAGATTACGTGCCCACCTTTCCGCGGCCTATTTCCATGTGTGTGTATCGCGTTTGGCGGGAGATTTCGGTCATATAACTACACATATATACCTATACGTATACGAGACGTGTGTTCCGCAGTCGCGTGCCTCGAATTTCGAATCGTATGATACGCCTTGGCGCTCTCTTCGTCGTTGGTCGGGTCTTTTCCCTTCCTTGGTCGGTGTAAACTTTTATGTTATTTATTTTATTTTTTTTAATTTTTTTTTTAAACCCCGCTTGATTTTGTCCAACATCCTTTTATGTTATTTATTTTATTTTTGTTTTTTTTTTAAACCCCGCTTGATTTTGTCCAACATATCATGTACAAATAAGTTCATATAAGTTCGGTGTCACTTTGATTGCGAGTGCATGTAGAAAAATGCACCCTTTGGCTCTTTTTTTTGTTTTGTTTACGTATTATACCAAAAAAAAAGATAAAGAGCACTTATTCCCTGCAAAATGTGAATTTTGCACCTTACTGTTCCCAGGGTCGTTTGGTCTTTTTTTTTTTTACTTTAAATTCACGTTTGCAATCACATTATATATATACATATATAAGTAGTAGACACGTTTCGTTTGAAAAAAAAAAAATGTGCGTTCGTTAGGATAAAGATACAAAAGGAATAGCACTTCCGGAGAAAAATTGAGCAAAGTCCCATTTCCTGAGAAGTACGCGTGTGTGGGGGGAGGGGCAGAAAAACGTTGCAGAAGTGAATTGCAGCGACATACGGTGCGATGGTTGGTTGGTAACAAGAGCACGCAAGTATGCCCATGGGGGGACAGAAGCGATTAAAAAGAAAAAAAAAAAAAAAAAAACTTGGGGTTGCAGGACGAAAGAGACAGAAGCACAGAGGGGCAGATGTCAGGAAATTCGGTGGTGTATCCATATATATATACATATGTATACATTTGTGTGTGCATGTATGGCGCGCGTCTCTTTTCGCCCCGAGAGGGATGATGGTGTTGCGGTCGAGTTCAAACATACACACAATGGTTATTATACGCGGAAGAATCGAACGAAGCCAAAGTGTGCATGCGCAAGTGTGCGTGTAAGTGATCGAAAAAAAAAAAAATGTACATCTCATTTGAATATGAATGAGTTGCGAGTCGCAGATCCCTAGTGTGTATATATATAACACATGCGCTCATTGAATTTTGAAAAATTAACGCCTCTCGCGTCCGTGGGTGGTAAATTCAATTTCGCGTGTACAGCATACAAGAAGATATTTATACCCTCGATACATCTTCCCACTCGTTTAAGCGCGATATTTCACCATACGTATAAACTCTAACTTTCGCAAAGACTCACTCTGTATACGTATAGTTACGTATAGAAAAATGTATGTACATAAATGTTTTATTATTTTTAAAATGTTCATTACTCGCTGATGGTTAACGCAAGCAATTTCGTATTTTGATATTTTTAGATGACGGTGTAGAAGGTTTCTCGAAAGTTTTTGCGCAAAATGAAGGCGCGTTGTAAACGCGCTGATTGAGCATGCATTTTTCGCTTATCTATCGTTAGGCGAAATAAATATCCAACGTGTAATCAATTTTTATTTGTTTCCTCCCGGGGTTGGGTTTCATTTCTCCTATTTCGCTTTCATGCGAGCTTACACGGCACTTTGGAGGCTTACTAGGCTCCGGTGTCTATATATATATATATATATATATATATACCGACATTGCACGCACACGAGACGCGAGAACGCAGCTGCAGTGCATATATAATAATGTATAACGGCTCGTTATTTTCGAATTTTCACTCTCCTCCGCGCGTGTGCATGTGTAAGTATGGCCTCTTTGATGAANTATATATATGTATGTATGTATGTATGTATGTATGTATGTATGTATGTATGTATACAGTGACATCCAAACAATAACATTTCAGTATTATATACCCGCGGGATTTGTGCTCCTTTGTTGGGATAAGGTATAGCCTGGCGATTCTTCGGTGATTAGATTGTTATTTCTTCGAATTCAAAGCTTATTCGTACCCACGTTTCTTAACTGGAAAATGGTGTGATTATGATTAGTATGTTTTACTTACGTCTTTTCAATAAGTTGCCGGCTTTGGTCATCGCCAACAACCAATGTGTTCCACGTCTCTTCTGATTTACGTACATAATGCGGGTATACTTTTATTCGACATGTGGCATAAGAAAAAGAAAAAGTATTAGAAAGCAAGGCACTTTTTTTTTATTGTCTCTCGCATACATTATACAAATGACTGACATGTACTTGAGCAATAAAGTATGTAAGATTTCTAGAGATAACAAAGTTAAATCACATGAGAAAAACAAAAGATTTATTTACTAAAGTTATTTTGAATTTAGACATCACTATAGACTAGGAAAATAGCAAAAGAAACAACTGTAAAGAAGTGTTTGAGTTCTCCAAGCTTTTTTCAATGCGATAATTTCGTTGTTTTTTACAGGTGCATCATAAACCACAAAGTTTTATCGTATGCTTTCATATTGAGCAACACCAATAATGACGAGGTGTGGAATATTTGTGACGAGGACAAAGGCATCTATGACCATTAACTGTCGCTTGGCGTTATCTTCACGTATATTAGGTGGACTGTAAAAAAATCTCATATAGTGCATTTCTTCTTTTGAAAATTGTGTGGCATTAATATCAATAGTAGTGAAAGAAAAAAGAAAAACACAAGCCTCATGGTACAAAATTTTCACAAAAAGTATCATCAACCGATATGTTGAATAAATTAAAAAAAAACGTTTTATGATTCAAAAGTATTTATTCAATCTTGTACAAGGTTTAGTGGTGAGATAAATGCAAGCAAGAAACAAATGAGTCGTCCTCCAGGTGATAAATCGTGGGATCCACGACATATTTTCGGTTTTTGTCGTCTAACCATAATTCCGTGAGCAGTTTCAAAGCGTTGATTTTTAAATATAACGCATCACATTTCACTGCCGACTTCAAATAATCGAAAGCATTTTCCTGGCTCAGATTTTTCAGTAAAACCATCTCGCAAACGTGAATCAAGTCCCAAACACCGTATTCGAACGCTGCCACCATCAGTTGGTTGGCCACTTCCTCGACACCGTCGACATCCCCGTGATACATGTAACGAATCAACGCCATCATCACATTGTACGGCGTGCATTTTATCATCAGTTGAGTCGAAGCTAATTTGTTTTTGCGTGACACGAAGTCGCCCAGTACGACCGCAAACACCGAACTCCTCGTTGCCAAAACTATCGAGTGCGCCAATATCTTCCGATCGCCAATCAGTAGCGCAACATCACTGCACTTTTTGTTGTTCAAGAAACGCTGGCATTTGTACTGTTTTTCTTCCATCTTCGAGCCGTTTTCTTCTTCGGCGTTTTTCGGCTCGTCTGCTTCGTCGGGCCAAATTTCGCACAATACGTGTACCTCCTTGGTGACCTCGTCAACGAAATCGAGCTTTATCAATCTGTTGATGACCAAAGGCTCGTTAGGTTGAAATAGGATCTTTCGCGCCCTCCACGAACGAACGACTTTCTGCCTCTTACGATCAATCATCGATACGCACAAACGTACCACAAGCTCCGTTTCTCCCGTCATCGTGAGGTCCATAGCCAGACAGTCCTTGTCCTTTGACCTCGTGCACTTTGAGTTGGGGTACAAGTGCAACTCCCACGTACGAGCACCGGCTGAAAAACACTCCGAGGCCACATCTTCGGTTCCATCGATGCCGCGAGGTGTACCAACAGACCACAAATAAGCAAAGTGCTCGACAGTCTCCACACGTTTTATCTCGTTAACGGTCGGTTTATAAGATTTGAGAGCCATTGAAACACTAATTTTAAAAGCCAGTACGTACAAGTATCTATATTATCTGTACTCTTCAAGCCACGCGCACACACTACAGTTTTAGTAAAACATGACGTTGTGGCAATCCAATGAAATTTTGAGATATTTGTGTGTTATCGTGTACACGTGATTATGTGTTTATCACCTTATCACCTGAGCAGTGACTAGAGAGCCTCTGCTATACGCTATTATGTAGTCATGAGTCATGTATATATAAACGTTGAAAACAATGCATAAAAATAATAGGAATTAAAAGAAAAATAAGAACGTGTTTTGAAAAGTAAAAAATAAAAATTTTATTCATTTAATTCTGTTGGACATATCTCATTACATCGTTAAAATGATTGTAAACAATTGGCAAAAAAAGAAACTAAGCACTCCGGGAGTGCAGACAAAAGTGAAAACTTGAACTTATGAAGCGTTGGGTACTTTTTTGGGTGAGCATTTTTAGGTGCGCTCGCGACATGAGAAATTGTACATAAAAAATCAAGTTTATCAAAGCAATGTGGGCACTTTTTGAATGGACATGAAGTATAATAATATAGAAACTATATTCGTGGTTTTATTTAAATGAGTAAATATTAGTAAATAGTAAATGCAAAATTTATCAATTTTTTTAACACAATACCATAGCAGCAACACAAGTCAAATGAAATATTTAAATAAATAAATTTTCCGTTTAATATTCATTTATAAAATAAATATAAAAAACTCTCAATCTCGTCTGTCGCGAGGGCACGAACGAATGCCCATGCAAAGACTGCGTATCAGCGTTGGTCTGAGCATTATTCCACGCTCACAGTT